TAAGTTGATAGGAGTCTTACTCTATATATATATATATATATATACACATACATATATAAAAATATATTATATATACATATATTATATATAAACATATATTATATATATACATATAAAAAATAAAAAAGTAAAAAAATTTACTATTCCGGGCCGGTCGTCGACGACTAGGGCGGAGCATGGTTCGGTCCAAACCGAAAAAACCGATCGAACCGACCCGAAAAAATCGGTTTTAAGAGTAGGGCGGTTCGGGTCAGATTAAAATTTTTTCAACCCGAACCGACCGAATACCCCATGATCTAAGTACACATTCTGCTCAAAGCCGACCCGTCCCCAAAGACAAAGTCTCAGACTCTCAAACCCTAAACACCTAAACTTCCTTTCCCCCTTTCCTAGCCGCCTCCTCAGTTCTTCTCTCTCACTCTCTCTCACTCCTCAGTTCTCAGTTCTATGGTCCACCTCTCTCACTTCCTCTTCATCTTCCTCACTTCCGCGGTCTTCATGGCCGAGGTCGAAACATCTCCTCAGGCTCAGGATCTGTCTCCGGCTTTCGGGAGGACACCCGCACCCGTCGCCGTCGCCGAGACCGAGGTATAAACTTTATCTTTTGCTCTTCTTCAAGCTTCTGACTGCGATTATTCTTTAATTTTGATTTATTTCCTTGGATACATCAGCTAGTAAGTTGAGATATCGGCCTATCAGTTTCCTGTTTATTTATGCACTCCTATTCTCTTATGATTTCTGAGTTTGTGCTTTGATAACGATCCTTAATTTGTTTTCTGGTATATATGTTTTCATGGATGATGATTTTGTTCCTTTTCCCCCCTCTTGTTTTTCCAAATTAAGTCGGCAACCCATGAAATACTACTATTTAATATTCATGGGATCCCTTACCTGTCACGATATATTCTATTTGATTTAGCATTTGGCAAGTCTACTGTTTAAGTCATTCTTAAAATGAAGTTAGAACCGAACAAACCGAACCGAACCGCACCGAACCGACTTGCAACGGTTCGGTTCGGTTTTGAATTATATGTGGTTCGGTTCAGTTGTTCAAAATTTGGTAAAAACCGACCCGAACCGAACTGTGCTCAGTCCTACCGACGACCGGACCTGGACCAGGCCTCGGGCTTTTTAGACCGCCCTACACAATCCCCACCATGTGAAGGAGATAGAATAAAGTAGGAGAGAGAATTTCACATGGTGAAGATTGTGACACATCATTGTTAAGAAGGGAACCCCCCTCCTTATCAAGGATACTCATTAATCTCATATGCCTACACAATCCCCACCATGTGAAGGATAGAGACTAAAGTAGGAGAGAGAATTTCACATGGTAGGATTGTGACACATCATTGTTAAGAAGGGAACCCCCCTTCTTGTCAAGGATACTCATCAATCTTATTTATATATAATATATATATATATATATATATATATATATATATATATATATATATATATATATATATATATATATATATATATATTATATATATATATATATATATATATATATATATATTATATATATATATTATATAATATATATATATATAGTATATATATATATATAATATATATATATATATATATATATAATATAGTATATATATATATATATATATATATAATAATAGATACAGCTGATTAGTATTACAAAAAAAACTAAAAATGTTTAAAATTGTACAAATTTCCCTGAAAAAAGTTTAAAATTAGAAAAACCATCCCCATGTCTTAAAACTTAAAATAACAAACATGAAATTAAGAAATTAACAGTAGTTTGCGAAGAATTTAAAATTTACGGTTAACACCTCAATGTCTCAAAAATTATAGAAATACCCTCAAAACTTTAAATTACAAACAAGCACCTAAAATTCTAAAATTTTAAAACTTGCAAACAATATGGATAAATTCAAGGGATTAACATAATGAACCTGAAATTTTTTTAACATTTTAAAACTTAAAACACCAAACATGAAATCAAGAAATTAACAACAGTCTCTGAAGAATTTAAAATTTTTAATTAGCACGCTTAATGTCTCAAAAATTAGAAACACCCTCAAAAGTTCAAATTATAAAAAAATCACCTTAAAATCTAAAAATTTTAAAATTTGTAAACAACAAAAGATGAATTCAAGAAATTACCCTCATGCACTTAAAATTTTATAATTTACCGTAATTAACCTCAAAGTTACAAAAATTATAGAAAAAACTCCTTCAAACATTTTAAAATAGAAAAAAACTCTAAATTTTTAAAATTTATAACCAGTACATATCAAATCTAGAGACCATTGGTAGACTGCTAAAATTTAAATTTTTCAGAAATTAATCTATAGTTTTAATAATTACAAAAAACAGCCTTAAAATTTCAAAATCGTAAGAAATATCTTGACATTTAAAAATTACCACTGACACATGAAACATAAGTTACAACTAATAAACTTAAAACTTGTTTTTTTTTAAACACTCCCAAGTTTAAAAAAAATACAAATTACACTCTCGAAGTTCAAAACCATAAAAAATGACTAAAATTTTAAAAGTTGGCAAAGAAAAGTGTAATTGTTAGGTATTCTTTCATTCACTCATTCAAATGGTTGCAAATCCGCATGTACTTCTCAACTTATGTGAATGTGGTCTCTCATTTGAATGAGTGGAGAGGATTGTTCCATCTCAATACCAAGCATATCCATATTTGTCATATATATATATATATATATATATATATATATATAGTGTCCAAGGTACAAAATATCTGAAATATCAATGTCAACTAATCCATACTGTATGTTACTATAGTATTAGAAGCATGCATTATTTTAAATATCCCCGATATGGCCCGATATATCCTTTTAGGGCTTGCCGCAACCGATATGGTCACTAAATATCCTTTAGTGCTTTTTTGCTATCTTGGGCAATATATCCCTGATATGGCCGATATATCAGCCGATATGTTGACCGATATATCCTTTCATATGGCTATATGAAAGGATATATGTATACGCACATACATAAACATATTCTTAGATCTATGCAACTAATTCATATTCAACCCAGGTTTTGATATCTTTTTCCTGGACTTGTGATTGCTTGGCATATATAGAGAGAGAGAGAGAGAGAGAGAGAGAGAGCAAAACTTATGTCAACTTAAGTGGACGTCCACTAAGTTTCTTAGTCATTGATGATCACTTGATTGAGCTACATTGTGGATGATTCGCTTCGTTAAACTTGATCTACATATTCTAAAACCCCAACACACCAAATTTGGGGTGAATCCGTCGTGGTTTGACTCTCCGTAGAGCCATGTAAAAAGTTCTATTCATTCAAAACCGTTAAAATTGATACGAGTGGATGAATGGTCAAACCACGACGGGTTCACTCCAAATTTGGTATGTTGGGGTTTTAGAATATGTAGATCAAGTTTAACGGAGCGGTTAGAGTTTATTATCTCTTTTCAGCATCTAAAAATAGTCTAAGTTGATACTGGTAAACTAAAGCAATAAAAATTGATTAAAAATATCCGGTTAAGAAATAACAATTTAAAAATATTATAGCTTAAAATTTATAGTCACTATATAAATTAAAGTAACTACATATAGTTTTACTAATAAGTTGGAGAAGCAAAAATACATTAGTAACATTAATTGATATATGTTTAAATCCATAAAAATGATAAAACCCTATAATATAACAATTTAGCATTAATTAATTATAATTTAGAAACATTAACATCTGATGTTAATAATATTTATAGGGTAAAAGAGTTCAATGAATTATGTGTAGAGAAACTATCAGAATATTCAGAAATATCCTTTAAAAGAATCAAATTATTTCCGTTGCAAATGTTGAAGTGACAGAAATAAAATTAAAATTCAGAAAACGTCCACGAATCATTTGAATTGGCATTAACATAAGGTATATCTATTAAAGAAGCACCAACTGAGTTACATTATATCCCTATCAAAGAAGAATTTTCCATAAAAAATATAAGAAAAATTAGTAAGTATCCATAAAATTTCATACTTTGTTCTTCAAATGGTAAGGAAATTAAATATTAATATTATAATTTACGACAAATTGGTAATAAAAAATACATGTATTTAGTTTAGATCTTTGTGAAAAATAACAGGGATAAAGCAAATATAATATTATTGACATTACAGAAACTCTTATTGGATGCACATCAGAAGAATTTGTTGTAGAAAAAAAGAATAACTTCTAATCTTATTTAAGCAATAAATTAGAAACACAAAGAATTTATATATATGAAATTAATATTTATTCTCATTGAAATAGAAAAAAATTAAAGTCTATATTTCAAGAAGTTTGTGTTGAACATCAAAAATACGTTTAACTTCTTAAACGACAAGATAAAAGATTAACGAGGCCAGAAAAAATAATAGCATAAAAAATACAACTCTAGCATAATATCACAATCGATATAAATAATAAAGACACTACATTAGAATTGCTCAAGAAAAAGATAAAAATGAGGAAAGATTGATCTTAGCTCAAAAAAAAGAAGGAATAAAAGACAATATTTTTTAAATATTTTATAGAATAGTTTAATTATCTTGAGTGAAATTAAGAATCCTTAGAAGGAAGTTTCATGAGCTTTTTTCACTACTTTTATATGCTTATATATATGTTTTGATCATATAAAAGTATACTAGAGTTAGTATTTATCTTTAATTTATAATTTTTATGAAGTCTATCAATGATTAGGAACAAACTTCATATTCTATTTAGTATCATTTTAACATACTTTTAATCAATCATTTTTTTCTTATTGGTTTTAAATATTCACATTCCTTATATAACACTATTTTAATATTTTTTACTTTCACAACATTGTACTTTCTCAAGTAAAACTTGGTTTCATGTCAGTCAAAATATTATGAAAATTCAAATTAACTTCAAATTGTATTTGTTTTCTGTCAATTCAAATATCAACATGAAAATTTAAATTAGGTGTAGCTCATTTAAACAAACATCAAAGAAAATAAATAATCGTAATATTAAAGTTCAAAGACAAAAGTGAGCACAAACTATTAAAATGAAAATGAGAAACAACTTTTAGTTAGAATTAAGCTAAAAATACTTAATCATGATATTTAACCACATGCATTGCACGCGTATAAAACCTAATAATAATATAAACACAGAACTCCATAGTCATAGGCTATACTTGATTTTGTATTCCCTCAGTGCACCTTCACCTTTCTCGTAATAATCTTGGATACTGAACGTCTGTGATGGAAACTGCAAGGAGGTAGCATATGCTGCTGCACCTCTCCACGCATCTAATATCTCGTCCGATGCCCTAACTACCTTGAGAGGTGAACGGTATGGTCGAATTCTCCGAATTCCGTTTTCTAATCTTGAATCCAAACCAGGGAAAAGAGTACTTCCGCCGGTTACGAGAACAGAACTGCACATTCTGCTCTTGATGGTTTCATCGACTGAAGAGAGCCTGCGGAGAGAGATCCCGACCATCTCATCGAGACCTGCTTGATCCACTCCGACCATTGTGGGCTGGAAAAGTATTTGCAGGACATCTGAATCGCCAGCTCAACCGCCGAGAGAAAATGCTGGAAGTGCTTGCCGCAAGTGAGAGGACGGTAGCGTGGGAATTCTGGTGTACCTGGGAGCAATGATGCTTCGAATTTAGGAACAAACTCTGGGTCTATATCCTACAGAGAGATTATAGAGCTTGTCACTTGTCGTATAAAGGAATTAGTAGAAATGGTCAAATAGTGAAGCAAGTGCAGTAATACAAAGTGAAAATTGTAGATAATAGATATACCCCCTGTACGATGATGCAGTCAATTACTCCAAAATTATTTTATTAGATATAGATATCCGCATATATATATTTTCCCGACAGTATATGGATATCAAATATCCATATCTAGGCGGCAGAAATGGACATGTATATCATTTTAAATTCATAATCGGTTCAAGTAGATATGGATGTAGATAGAATATAAAAATCCAGATTCGGGAATCTGGATATCCACAGCGACCAGAGGGGAAAAACTATTTTGGCTTTAAATTAGTGGACCTAAAACTGATTTTATTATCCAGAGATCTAAAATTTAGACATTATGAATGCAACGGTGAATTATAATAAATTTTAGACAGCTCTTGTATCGCATAGCATATATATACATTTGAATTTTATCATTTTGATTTCTCTCAAATTCGATAAGTGCATAATTTGTTTTCCTTTCATCCAATCTCTAACCATATCCGTATTTAACTTTGGCGGATATGGAAATGGGTTTTTTTACGGAACTATATCCATATTTATATCCGTCATCAGTAAGCCAATACACATATTAGTAAATGCCAAATCCATTAAACATTGCCCTCTGTTTTAACTGAAAGAAGACTAAATTGCTAAATGTTGGTAAATGTCATAACTGATCTGTTTTCCCAACATGGTAAACTAATCACATGATGATAGATTACATTTTGCAATAAGTTTTAACTGGAATATGATTAAATTTCCCTCTAAATTGAGAGCAAAAAGTAACAGTGTTTGAGATTTAGCGAAAAGAGCTTAAAAAATGCTTTAGTTTGCATAAATGAGTACATCACAATACAAAGATTAACCCTGAAACAAATGGATGAAAATTTCTTGTCCATGTGTGTTACGAGAATCAAACTAATTGAGAATAAACTACTTACTGTACTTTACATGTTTGTAGTATAATAAAGTGTGGGAAATGAGCCGTGGAAGTCAAATAAGGTTCAAGGCAAGGATTCCCTTCAAAGAATAAGAAAAGGAGGAAAAAAAGAAGTCCATGTGTTACGAGAATTTCTTGTCCATGTGTGTTACGAGAATCAAACTAATTGAGAATAAACTACTTACTGTACTTTACATGTTTGTAGTATAATAAAGTGTGGGAAATGAGCCGTGGTTGCCGAAATTACTGTGCAGTAACATTCTTTTAGGAACTTATCTAGGCAGGAAAAAGCCCTAAACTAAAGGTTCTGAGAAGGTGGGTATATGGCTTTTGAAACAAAGAAATAGCCAGCATATCAGATTCTCGTCTCCTTTTTCTCTCATATTTCCTATATCCCACAGAAATTAATACCCTCTCTTATAACTCAAATTCACTTTTATCCAACCTCCCTTTCTCATAAATTTTCAAACTATAATAGAAATTTCATTTCATAACACAACTAATTTAAAACATTCTTCGATGAGACCTTATCCATTTGAAAAAAGCACCAAAATTCAAAATGCATTACCCCTGCTGCCAGAAGGATTTTTTAAGTACTCTCTTACAATCTATCCATAAGCAGGTGGAACACTGAATACACCCTAGACAGGAAATAAGCAGTTACCAGGACAGATGCTTCAATAGATTGAAAATGCTGTTATAAGTGAAAAGTATCAAATATATCAGCAAGGAAATCATTCATTATTTTATTAGCCCATAACTTTAAACATAATGAGCATGAGAACTAAGAACAACCATGTGAACTAAAGCTCAGGGTATTGATATTCCAAGAATCAGTATAGAAAGACCAATAACAGATGCCAACAAGTCGGTAAAGGGAAACAAGGGTAAAGGGAAACAAGGAATTGCAATGGAACTGACCTGGAGCCTACTGGAGATGCGAGCTAATTCTGCCTCATTCTCGTCTTGCCCCTCATCTTCTTCATCAACATCCTTGCTCATCAGTTTATACAGTTGCCAATCTTCATCTCTAGCTCCAAATGTATCTTCACCTTTCCCTCGATCAAATGCTGCAGTTGTCAAGAGGCGCATTCTTTCCCTTTGAGCAGCATTCAGACGTTCGCCACGACCTGTATTCCCTGATGAATTCTGATTACCATTTGTACGGTTGCCATTTGTCTTGAGCCTCTTCCTCTGCTCAACTTTCTCAGAGAGTTCTTTATATTTAGCTCGTAGTTGCTCAAGATATTGTTCTGGGTTCTCTCTGCATTAAAAATAACACATAGCCAAGCTGTGATAACTTGATTAACAGCTCTCCATGTCGACATTAAATTTCAAATTACATGCAGAGGATTGCTGAGGATATGATCCTCAATATAGTCAAACAACATAAAAGGATTCATGTAGATGTAGCTCATCCTAAAGACCCAAAAATAAGCTTTCAGAAAATTGTTCTTGTTATTAAGATATAAAAATTGCATAAAGAAAATTGAATGTCACCGCCAGACAGAAAAGGACACAAGGATTCTAGAAAGTGAAATATTGGAATCAGACGGAAGCCTATAATTAGCATCCAGCAGAAGCAAAAAATTAGATAGTCAATCTACATTAGTAGGAGAAAGCATGTACTAGCTATTATCTCGCTCACTGAGGAAAGGATGCTCATGTCCTTCAGTTTTAAATATGGATTAACTTCGCAATCAATTCTATAAAAGACTTCGACAATTATTTTTCGTGGAAACAAAACTCTTGAAAACAAATCACTTCAAGATTCTCCGGGTCAGGCAAATTGTTGAAAGGCAATAAAACATACAGTCGCTTTTCTTCTTCTTCTTGATTCTGCTTCTCCCTCAGTAATTCTTCTTCAACGCGCTTTTGCTTAGCACGCAATCTGCCCTCTGTTGTGGTCTTGAGAAATGTCTGCTTTCTTTTTTCTTTAATCTGCCAAATGAAAGATTTAGAGTCACACCCAGCTAAGAAATCAAGTATATAATGACAAATGGATTGAAGTCCACAATACCTGCTCAGGAGTCAACATGTCATCAGGAATATTAACGAGTGGAAATCTCTCTGCCAATGAGGCCTCGTCCATTTTATCCTCACTTTCATCAGGCTCGCCCTTTGCCTTTCGTAAGGATTGTGTTACTCTTAGAACAGCAGAGTCAATTTCGTGTCTGGAAACATAACCAGCTGCTGACAAAATAGAGGGAATCTCATCTTCATCCACCTCCTCAAGCTGATCCAAGAGATCTTCTAAACCTTGAAGTTCATTTTCCAGCTCGGATATTCTAACAGACTTTTTTGCTGCAGCCATGTCTCTCAATCGCTGGCCTTGCTTTTCTCTCAAAGCAGCTTTTCTGGCAAGTTCCTCTTCAGATGGGCCCACTTCTCGTGGAGGTGGAACCCAGGGTAGTTGCCAGTATCTGGTCTTCTCTTCAGCTTCTTTTGTCCCTTTCTAAAACAGAAACAAAATTTCTATTACATCTTAAAGCAGACCGGAAAAAAAATGAAAATGAATATATAAGATTAAAAAATTGAAATTTGATCTATGTTTTTTTTATTATAAGTTAACGAAACTCCATACTGTTGCAGAGATATTGCTTAGGAAACAATAAACCACTCTTAAATTTTGAAAGACTGCTTCTTGAGTAATTGAGTTTGTCCTTCATGTATGTCAACAAGATGCACAAAAAATTTAATAGCTAACATTATAATTGAAATACAACACAACCAAACCATGGAAAACTAGCCGGTATGGTCCTCAAACTAGCAGAAACTGTTCTACCTAGCAATGTCCACCAAAAGAAGAAAGATAAGAAAAACAGAAAAGAAATAAGAAAGGAAAGAATGCTAAGAGAGATGAAATTTTGTCTATTACCTAAGAAGGCAGATTGTTAGGGTCTTTACCTGATACAGTCATACACGCCAACAATAGTTAAGACAGTAAACGACTATCGAGCAATCTCCGGGCACATTATGCAGTCTACTTGACAGTAATCCAGATCTAGTTATCCACAATAGGGAAATGGTAACAGCAACAAATTTCCAAAGGAACAAAACCCTTTCCATCGGTGTGAATCACTGATCTGTTTTGCATGATATCTTAAACTTCAATTTTTGGACAAAGATAAGAGATATCCAAGAATGAAGCAAAATACAGTAGCAAAATGCAGGAAGCAACTGAAGTTCTTGGTCATCATTTAATCATTTATCAAATGCTTCCAGACATGTGAAAGAAACGTTTGATGGTCCCTTGAGTGCAGAAGAATAACCAAAAGAGTGGCATGTAAGGTGAGAAAGGGAACTTCAAATTGTTTCAAATAACAGGCTGAAAAGGCTAAAATTAAGTAGGAATAAATTAGGCACACCCAGTATCTTACAGTACTGAGCATGGTACTGCAAAAATTTTATCAAAGAAAAATTAGAACAAAGGGAATATGTTTTAGAGCTATTTACAAATAAGAGACGAGGCTTCCAAATCTCCTCCTTACTCCTATCTCCCCACCCCATCAACCTTCTCAGAAATGAACTTAGCAGTCAAATTGTCTTGCACAACATTGTCAAATGAATATGAAAACCCGTCTCCAAATCTATCTTCCTTTGCACAATAGCCCAATCTCACCACCAAAGTTCGGTATCAGCACTTGGATGTTCCCTAAAAGAGAAGCTTCCTCGAGCTAACGAAAAAAACCAGGAACACTCAAGTGACTCTTGGAAACAGGATAGAAAGAACTTATCTTCCAGTAGCAACAGGCCCAAAAGCAAACTCTTCAACACACAACATGCAATGCCAAGGACACTGAAGCAGCTTACATAAGCGGCATTGCACATGCATGAATCAGCTGTTGCTGTGTGGTTTAAACTGGCGGAAAGGCTGACAATATTTGCAAGGAACTCAATTTGGAAAGGTTAGGAGTAGATAATAAGAAGCTCCAGAGAAGCAATGAAAAGTAAAATTCTGCCCAAGTCCAAGTACCTCGATGAAAGCAATATTAGTCATGAAAAAGCACGGAAAGAGAACAAAAGTAAATCAGAGTAAAACTATTCCCACAGGAGACGATTGAAAAATAGTTTAGGTTGCAAGTATTCAATTAGAGAATGTAATTGCCGCAATAAATTTTGAAGCAAAAAAATAAGAAACCAACCTGGAACAATTGCAATTCTGACTGATAATCAGAAGCTACATAGCAATGTTCCCTTTTCAGCTCCTCAGCTTTTTCCCATGAGATGCTAGATCTGCAGAAGTGCATTTAAACAAGCCTCGTGATAGAATAAAAGGGACAAGCTTCAACTCTTTACTTTAAAAATAAACGGGATCAAAAAGCACATACGCATGATTAGGATACTTAAGAGAAAGAAGCTGCTTCAAATAATCAGTTACATGATATCCACCAATATTTGTTCTGCAACATGCATCAATCACAGGCTCCCCTGATAGAAACTGCATGATAACAACAGATAAACATCAATAATATGCCTAGGCGATCAAATGAAAATTAGACGGCATTAAACTGTCTCCAAAATGCAGAAAATATGAGAAGCATCACTCTTAAAACTGTTATGGTTAAATGTAAACAGTCCAAAGGAGATAACTCTAACAGAGTTGTGTAACTAGGAAAACACTCATGGAGCTGAATCCCAATATCTGATATAACAATGTCCTTGAAGATGTCTATCGATCCAACAGAACTTTATCACATCTCTAAAGACCTAGCAAATATGTCTATTTTAAATAATTCATTTCACTAGCTCTCCAAATAGTTACTGATCTCCTTTCCTAATAAAGGCGTCTTTCAGTATCATCTGCACTAGCTTGCTCACATATCGAAATAGCATGCCTACCAAAGCAAGCTGATTTGCAGGTCATTAGATTATCAAACTTGCTTGCCTGACGCATGACATGAGACTTACAGGGATGACATGGCTTGTTGTCAGTCCCGAACAAACGACAAGGCCATCTTCATTGCAAACCCCAAGTTGCTGATTTAACTTGTAGCTGAATGCAGCATCGACACCAAAAGCTGAAACAAAAGAGTTTCAAAAACAGATGACAGAAATAATAAGAAACCATTATAACATGTTTCACCTTGCCTTAAGAATATAGAATAGATACACAATTCAACCACAACTTAATAGAATTGACTTCAAGAAGATAGTAGGCAAAAAATTGTACCTATGGATGGTATGCCATAAGTCTCAAATAGAAGCTCCGCCATTTTACTGCGCGATGATATAGGGTTGCATATGCATTCTGTCATCAGAATGGGATGGTCAACCTGTTCTGCCCTCAAGTTTAGTATATAGTGCAAATTTATCAGTTTCATAACCACTAAAACTCCAAATCACGGACTCAGAATAAAGCAAGGTTGAAACAGAAAGTTTTAGTTTGAACAGTTACTATGAAAGTGTCAGTCTATAATACATCTTCAGCAATGTCATTTTCAGAATAGTAGTATGAAGTTCTATATAGGGTAGCGGTCATTGACTCATTGTACATACATACATATATACATGCACACATACTCACATTCATTTATGCAAAATCTAAAAAGAAATTAGCAAGCAGGTCGACAATTATGTTTCCTATAGAAATGAAAAAGGAACATGTAGGTAGCTAGAAAGGCGTCTATGCACACACATACACGCATGGTTATTTGCTAATAAGATCAATGTTCTAAGTAAATTAAATATTTATGCATATGCATATGCACAAGCAGACACAGAAATGTGTCAAAGCACACACAATGTAGGCATCAAATTGTGTAAGATATCTTTCAGTCATGCATGCATCATTTATGTTAAGGTTGACATCAGGTTGATGCCTTGTTAAGAAAAGTAAGCCCACAGTATGAGATGCCAAAGTAAAAGAAAACTTGTCAATCTGTACCTGTGTACGTACCTTTAAATCTGCCCCCAACCGATCTAAAGCGTAATCAAGAACCTAGAACAGAAATTAGTATGTCAAAGAGAAGATATGAAGAAGCAAACAAAGAGTTGAAAAGATGACACCTCAAGAACACAATATATGAGAATTAATGAGGGAAAGAATGCAGAAGCAGAAGACTAGACATATACGTTGACAGATTGGCATCCCAAGACTGGACATAAATCCACACACCGATATACAATAATCAAACTATGAGTATCACCCATTTGTGATTGAATCGCATTGGTTACTAATTCAATAACCAAGTAGAATAAACAACATATCGGAAGGAGGGAACGTGTTTACTGATCTAAACAATCCCCTACAAGACCTCAGAATCTACAGTGTGTTGTTGCCTTCAGTTAACAAGTGCATGGTATCACAATTGATCATGGATTTCAGATCTTACAAAAGTAAACTAATTACTTTATCAGCACTTCCTATTTGTAAAACATAGTCTAGTCAAGTCCTGCGATAGATTATCGTTAACCTGCAACTGACTGAATAAACAAAGGCAAAGTCTAGCTGCCATCCACAGTATATCTTGAGCTACCAAGGGGTATATTTTCTATTTTCCAATGAGATTTGAACATTGTGCAGTAGGTCTCTTGTCACAGCATGCTACTTGGTGAACTCTGCTATTAACTACAAAAATAGAGAGAGTTTTCTGTAAATTGGGAGTCATTTCCTTTTTCCTTATAGCAAAAAACCAGGTTGGGTAATATTTTTCTACTTATTGGTGTGTAAGGACAGGACATTACAAGGTTTTGACTGTCTCTATTATATAAATGCTATATGCAAAGAGAATGGCCTGGATAACCCGTGCGTATCAAAAACCATAAAAAGTTATGGATATGCCGTCCACATATTCAGGACAACCTTCCTGTACCCTTCAAGAAAGGGGTTTGGCCACAGTAACTAATAAGAGAAACCAGGCAGCACGCTATCTCTTCATGATGGACAGAAAATATTTCCGAGGGACCCCATGCAATAATTAACTGTGTCTTTGACCTCTTGGAATCACAGGGCTAAAGTAGACAAACATAGCCCTCATGTTTGCATAAGTCCACCGACGACTAAAAGAGGGGCGGAGCTATATTGAGGCCAAATGGGCCATGGCACCCCCTTGGAATATGTAGGCCTGAGAACCTCTATTACTCTCTTAGCTCCACTACCATCCATGAGAAAGAGCCTTTCCACTGCTAGATTAAAGGTTGACGGTGAGAAATAGGGAAATTAGGAAGAGGGATAAGAAATTGTGAAAGAAATTGGGTTTCTTTATTTCAAGTCTTGATTGAGGAAGGAGATGAACAGTAAGCTCTTACTCCTTCAGATCATTGTAACGTTCAACAAACTACCTAACCACATGGCATCATCCTACACAGTTACTTAAATGATTCACCACATGGCTACAATCCAACATATGAGTATACGACTAACACATTTGCAGCGAGACCCTATTGAAAACAAGGACTACAAAAGAACCCAATTAACAATTAACAAAGAGACCCTTTCTTTCAGATTTCTTTTTGTGGATCAGTCCGTATGAGTTCTTCTTCAGCTCTCCTACAGCTCGTTCACATGGCTCATAGTGGAGCTAAGACAGAATAGAGGTTCTGCCTCACAGAATATAAGAAAAAACCAAGTAGTATGGATGTTTAACTAATAATTATATTTAGATGGGGATGAAATGCATAGATACCTAACTTGAGAAAACTCTTCCATTTCTTGTTTTATCTCTAGCTCTCTATGGCTAGCGAACAATGCTAAAGAAGAACAATCAATAGTAATGCAAGTATGTAACTTTAGGGTTTACTAAGGGTTAATTGCAGATAAACCCCTTGTAGTAGCGCCTAGTTCCAAATATACCCTACAGTTTTTAATTGTGTAGATACTACTCCTTGAAGTATTTTGCGAAAGTGCGATAGACCACCTCAATGATTTTTTTTTCCTACTCTTTCAAGTATTCATAAAATTAGAAATTTGGAGTTTATCCACACCAATAGAACTATTGGGGTCTATCCACGATTGGGCGATACTCCAAGGGGGTCTATCCATAATTAACCCATTTAATAAAGACTATTGAATAAAAGATGGATGCTCATGTATCCGTTAATGTACACGTTAATTGAGTTGGAATGCTATTGTAAACACCATATTATAATTGGAAATAGGATTTTGAAGGTCTTGTTATGTAACGAACTAACGATGCTAGATGCTAATCAGTTGTGCTTAAAAAATTATACGTTGTGGTGTTTAATCACTTTGCGGACCCCTCTTGCCGAAATTCCTAGCTCCGTCACTGAACTAAACTCTACAAGTGCACCTTAAGATGATTAAATTGCATTAAATGTTTAGATCTTTGTAAACTAAAAATTTTCAAATACTTGAAGCTAAAATTATTCTTTCTTATATACATCTCTCTTTAAACTGTAGGAACATTAAATAAAGGTGCAAAGATTAGGTTTAAATATGCCATCTTCTTCTACCTAATAACCTCTGGTGTCTTCTGGTACACAGTGGATTCTTATGGATTATAATTAATAACCTCCTCTGTACATAGTGGTTTCTTATGGATTACAACTAATTATTCTTTCTTACATACATCTCTCTTTAAACTGTAGGAACATGAAATAAAGGTGCGAAGATTAGGTTTAAATATGCTGCCTTCTACCTAATAACCTCCAGTATCTTCTGGTACATAGTGTATTCTTATCGATCTAACTAATAGAAAATGCCCACTGGTTTCTAGGGTACGAAGCACATTTTGCAGGGATAGAAGATCAAACCCGTGCCAAAAGGAAGAGTATTATTTATTAGCCCTTTGAAAATCTCATGTATTCCAAAATAAATAGAAAACCATCTATTTTAGTCCCGAAAAAGATCACCTATTTCCTAAAGTTGTAAGTTGTAACAGAGGCACATCTGTATAAAATCTAATATTAAGATGAAGCCTTGAATAATTTAAGAAATCAGAGACTAAATTCTAATTAATTCCTAATGAGTTGTAACATAACGAAATCTTTGTAAAGCCTAATATAAGATAATTTTTTTAAAAAATTAAGACAGAATTATCACAATATGAGTGGGGTTTTTTTTCAGAATGATTTTTTTTCACAGAGAGCATATCATGATCTTGAACCTAGAACCTCTATCCATCCTACCCTTTATCAGTGAGCTAGGTCTCACCAGCTACATGTTTTTCCTTTTTCCCTGAAATATTAACTACTACTAAGGTAACATTTCATGACGAAGATACTTCTGTCACCGTGTATTATTACAAAAAGTTTGGAGATGAAATATATACCCCTGTGCAATGTCACAAAAATCTATTTTGGAACTAAGAGTTTTTCCCCCACATTACTATGGGGACCTTCAAGTATAAAAAAGAAATTACATTATGTGCACCTCCTTCTATATTCATACGTCTTATTTTCTCCTGCTTGTTGAGGTTTTTCTCCCCGTGCATGTAACATCACCTGATGGGAAAACTATGACCGAATGATCCATTTGTGCACCGGATGAGATCATTAAGCTTAATGCTAAAATTGATACCTCCGTGCACGAATGACATACAACATGTGAGTATCATTAATCAAATTTCACAATATACATGAACAAGTCTCAAATGGTTTCAAAAAGCTAAACCATCACAGGGTCAAGTTTTCCTATTGTTCTTCTAAACATTTTCCACTGGCGAATAAGGGTAGATAAAACATGATAAAATAACAGAAAATCACAAAATTCAAAAATCCAAACTCACATATTCCATGATCTCATACTGGTAAACGACATTGTTGTCAAACGGAGAACGATAGGACGTCCTCGTACAGTCAAAATACTTCAGGTTCGCTGGATCATGATGGTCTCCAACAATAGTAACAGTATCACCTGCATCAAATAAAAAACTATAAAAAAAATCAAAACTTTCAACAAATTTCTACAAAATTTCGGCTAAAAATACCTGTCGATCTATGGCGAGGCCTCTGCACAACGTTGCGAAAAGTGATTCGAGGATCGGACTCTCCCGCCCACCTTCGGAATCGAATGAGAGACGGCAATTAGGTCAAAAAAAGAGAAGAAATGGCGACATTTTGAAATTAGGGTTAGGGTTAGGGTTTTAGGGGGAAATTTTACCCGATACGGAAATGGGAGCCGCCATTGTCGATGACGATGGGGGTGTCCGGGGAAAATCTCCAGTAGTCTGATTGGCGCGGGATCGAGGGCATCTCTGTTGATGCTTCTGTGTTCTCTTTCTGCGTATTTGCTTCGAGGAAAAAAAAATGGTGGCGTTGTTTTTTAGGACGACGACAGCGAGAGCTTTTCTTCGTTTTTTCTCCTAAACCCTGAAACACTTGCGTTCGTCCTCGTGCTGGGCTGGGATGGGCTGGGCTGAAACTGGGCCTCCTCAAACAGAATAGCCTGTAGGCCTTTTCTACAACGAAGATATTTTTAAGGACCTCGTGAGCAAGGCTCAAAAAAATCGGTGGTGTTGAGAAATTCAAAAGAGTTTTTTTTTTCTTCTGAAAACCACCTTCAAAAATAATCGGGTTATTTACAGAAACCATCTTTAATTATCTGTTTATACATGAATTATCTTTTAAATTCTTTTTTATTACAATTAACCATCTAAGTCCTTATTTGAGCTAAGTTTTTACGCTAATTTACCTCACCCAATCTCCATTAAGGATCATCTTTCTAATATATTTTCTATTTAACAACTAATCATTCAAGTAAAACAATTTTTAGCTGAAAAGTGAGCCTAGGGGTTTGATTATACTCAAAATATCCGAGCGCTTAATATCATGGGCCTTCTTACTTCTTTGTCTCCTTGACTTTTCATGGGTTTCTCATATTCTACTCATTTAATTTTAGTTATAAACAATGTATTT